TTCCCTACCCAGGGTGCCCGGCCTGTCTGAAATATAAGTCAAATAATATCTGTATCAGATTTTATACTCTGGTTGACTAGTTAATTCATAGCTCATGGCTAAGCCGCCCTAACCCTAGGGTACACTTAGTCTTATGCCTTTGTCCCCCTCAGAAGAAAACACGCACCTCAAACTCATTAAAAGAAACACCAGGAATCTGAGCCTTCCCTACTCAGGGTGCCCGTCCTCTTGTTCAGAAACCCTAAAAAAGAAAACAGCGACTGATCCGTCCTACCCGGGTAGGACCAGCCATAAAAGGGTCATTCACACAGCCTAACAAACATCAATAAAACATAGCACTGAGCCCACATCCACCCGGAGGGGCTCAACCTTGGGTTGACCCGGTCAAAACGCATGCAAAACGCCTTTCTCCCGCCTTCCCCTAATTCATTCTGTCTGAATTCGCTCAAAGAATATCTGATTTTTCATATATACTTGTTGATTTAACTCTTTTCAAAGCATGTCCTAACATACATAACAAAACAAAAAGTAGTAACCTTTCATAGTCGTGTTCTCAAATAAACCAAAGAGATAATGTAGCTAGGGGAAGGGATCACATGCGTCAGACGAAAGTTATACCTGAAGTTCCCTGCCTCTAGAACCCCGCCTGGGTTCTGGCAGAGCTCCCGCAATCGGTGGGTGGACCTCCCACAAGGTCTCGCTGCGGTCCTACGGGTTGCAATCCCGCCTGCCGCCTTCCTCTCGTAACCTCAGACTAGACTTAGACTAAGAAGGGCAGAAGGAGATAGGTTAGACTCTCGAGGTCCAAGAGTGGGTCAACTCAACTCACAGTGAGAGGGCCTTGAAATCTGGGTGCGCCTGAGGGCCTTGCAATGGTGGCCAATAACCGCAAACCAGATGACCAAACCGCAACCGAAACGCAGAATCAATGAACCATCAACAACTCTTCAATTCATAGCCTGCCAAGATCACAGTCAACCTTCTGCGGTAAAGGGTCTGCCACATCCTTTGAAACCCAGGCTGACAGCCGTAGCAGCAATACTTCCCTTCTAACCAGGGTGTTCAACAGCAGCAGCACAGGATGCACATCAAGCCGGCACCGCAGCTGCTCAATGAAGGCACAACAATGCGCAACAGCAAGGCATTGCAAGGCACGGTAGGTGCCTAATAAGGTACATCGCAGATAGCGACACCTTCTCAAAAGCCCACTATGTTAATCACAACAATCTGACAACCAGCAGTCAAGGGAACTCGACAACAGCTCCCAAAATTATAGCAACAGCAGTCTGTGCCTACCAGCATCCTGCCCGCAGTGCTGAGAACTGATGACCCCGTCGAAAACAACAAGAATCACTGTAACAGGCTGCTCCCTACGACATTAGTAGTAGCAACTCTCAATTACCTACTCCCCTACCAGGCAACAGCCACGCTGTGGCTTGACAACAACAACTCACATGCTCGTAGCAGCAATCTCCTCAAGAGCAACAGTTGAGGCACATTCGTAGCACATAACAACACGCAGTGTCTGTATGCCGCAGGTACTGCAGCACACACTGCCAAACGCACAACCGTGTAGCCTTAGCAGACGCGGTAGACCACAGTAATCATGTGCACCAGTCAAGTTGACATGCTGAGTTCTCCAAGTGTGATGGATTTCGACAAATCGTAATGTTTCGTAACAAGGCACGGCCACCTACAGCAACTAGGTTCCGCGAGATGCGGTCAGGCATGGTAGTGCACAGTCAGCGGCCCTGGTTGTCCTGCCGTCTCGTCATTACAACAGCCCTGGCTGCAGCAACATCGTTCCAGGGTTCCTATATGCGGTCATCAACAACAGTAACTCAGTTCCTGATGGCAACTGTATCTTATCTCAACTATTTCTCGTATCTTCCATCTGATGTGCAAAATGAAAACTGACCCTTCTGTTAAAACACACCCAGGTACTCCGCATAACTTCGCGAGCTAACAGTGCAGCTTGGTACTGCACTTCAACCCATAGTTCCTCTCGTATGGCCACTTCTCCAAAGTACGTACCCCTATGAACGAACCTAGCCTATAATCCGACTATGTTCAGGAACCTGGAGTAAAAGCCATAGGCTCAACAAAACACACCCTCTAAGCTCCAAGTAACGCTGCGCTATACGATGAACAGTCGTTTTAACCCCAGGTACAAAGGATACAACAGTTTGCCCAATCATGAAGATCTTGAAGACGAAAGATATGGATAAAAGAATCTCGATGGTGCCTACCACAAAAACATGACCAGGATCTTAATGACGAATGAATCTTCTACAAGAACATGAGCAGTTGCATCTATGATAAGTACTCCTCTCCTTCTTGTAACCTCATCCTCTGTCCCCTTCAACCATTTACATTGAGAGATAGCGAGTAACACACCGGCCAACAGGTACACACCGCTCGTGCTCACTCGCCATCCACTATTTGGCTATTTAAAATGACAACGCATCTCCCGCCACCGCATGGGAAAGCGCATTCATGTGAGGGACCCGATCGCCCAACGAAGATGACGGTGTGGCCAGCATCACGATGGCGATCCCAACTAGCGCCACGCCACTTATGCCTGGATGACGAGGACGACAACCATTACCGTAGCGAACAAAGGTGAGTGCGAACGGCCGAATGATGCAAGTGGTTGCCACCAAGGCACCAGGTTCACTTGAAGTGAGGAGGGGGTACTTGCACGAAACGAAGATCACGACCGCGCCCAAATCAGCAGCGCGTGGACATGACGATGCCGCGCAGCACCGCAACTTCGATGACGGTCACGGTAGATAGTGGTACCGGGCCGTGATGGGAACTGCGAGGAGCAACTCCCTATCAGCACCACGACGATTCACGAAAGATCCTGGCTATAACTAAAGCAGCGGCGCCCTTACTTCTCGATCTTTCCCCTTTCTCACCATCTCTGCCTCGCTCGCTTCGCCAATTTCCTGGCCATGTCCGTAGCCACTTTCACCGAAGGTGAAAAATGGAATGAATCTTCCTTTGAAAACAAGGGTGAGTGCACCCGACTTGGTCTACTCACCTTCCGCCAGCCTCCTCCAGTCTGTAGCGTACTCTGTAACCCTTGAATACAGCCCAGGCCTCGACTAGGTGCGTGCCCCTCCTCACTATCCTTCCACAATCTTCTTTATCCGTCCTTCTTCCCTCATTCGACCTCAGCCGGCACATCGGCCAGGTCAGCGCAAAGCTTAGAACCACCGTGAGCAGTCGGGTACCACAAAAGCTAATGCCTCGATCAAAGTCACGACCACCATCTCGAGCAGCAGCGCGTTCCCTCACAAGATCCTGCCACCCAGGTAAGTAATCATGCCTTTCTCTTCAATCGCATTTTACCATCTTATGCCTGCAACTCCTCTCTTTGTGGCCCACAGAGTAAAACGTACCTGGCTCATTTCTCAACCAGATTCGTTCCTCTTACATAGTGGGCATAGGCTCATCGACCCCGACGGCCTGTTCTTAGTGGGAAGCAGCGTAGTTTGCCACTATGGCTCGACGCTCAGCTCTCCTGTACCAACAGTCCTTCGAGGTAAGCGCTCAGATTCTTTCCTCTTCCTTCTCTCATCAACTCCCTACCCGCTCTCATATCGTTGTGCCCAGCGACAGCGTTGGTCAAAGAGGAGCACAGCAACTACAACCACCGTATGCCACTACCAAAAGAAAGCGTCGGGCTGCTCCCCGATTTTATGCGTATCATTCTTGCGCAGGGGTCATGCTAATCTTCTCTGTATCGTTCCAATTTTAACGGATGTCCCAAAGGACAACGGCCGAGGGGCGGTTATGAGCCCGCCCTGGCCCAGTTAATTCATAAATATGTGATTTCGCTTATCAAGTACCTGCATCTGGTCGAACTTGGGTCTGTATTCAGTAGTTCACTGGCGTACTCACTGAGATAGGCTCTCGGTCACGGCCGGTCCCGGGGACCGGTGCCGAGCCTCGTCCCAAATGGGACTAAAATAAGAAATAAGAAAAATAAAAATAGAAATATTAATAAATTATTTAGAGATAAAAATTAGAAAAACGGATAGGGGAGGGGAACCGTTGGTACTTGGACCTCGGCCCTGCCTCGCTGGCCCCGGGTCGGATCCCCCAACAAAACTCAGGGGGATAGTCCCGCGGGACCCTCAACCCCTCAGTTTAGCTCCGTAGCGCTCCTCCACTCCTCCAATGCTGGCTGCTAGCCTTGACCCCAGGATCCACATGTTGAAAGTCCAATGCAGACTGAACTGGTTATGCGCCGACCTGTATATGAACGGTAGCTGCAGCCAGCCCGGGCCTGCAGAAGTGCGCCAAGGCCTCCGCTTGGCTTATTACCCGAGTCCAAGGGCCCGCACGCGCGTGTTTGCCGCTTTAGAGGGCAAGGCTTTGCTCGGCTTGTCACGCGTGCTGCCTCACCATGCTGTGGTCACGGTCGGGGTTCTCCTATCCTGCCGTACTCATCGAAGGGTTGCCCGTTTATCGCCTTTGGGTCAGAAAGACCCCGACTTTTACTCACACCGTACCCGGCCCGTGCTATCCTAGCTAAAGTTTGTCACGGCTTCTACTGCCGACAACACACGGCCAAACGTTGTACTCGTGCACTCCACATTATGCGGCCCCAAAAAATGCCGTTCTCCAGTAAGTCAGACAAAATCCTCCTCTAGTCGCAGTCTCACCTGGTCAATTCTGCGCTGCCCGTAACTTCGTCCGTGCGTGCGAGGTTGGGGCTTATGCGACTTTATCTGAGATTCTAACCTAGTACCAACTTGCTCTACCGGCGTTTCATAGTTTACATTGATCAATTATTTAGCCAAGCTAACACGTGCCCACAAAGTGCACGCTCACACACTCTCTAATCAACTCAAAAGCGTGTGTCACTCCCAACCCCTGAGGATTGGTTGTGGTCGCTAAAAAACGAGGCACGCTCCTAGATATCGTCAAAGAACGTACTTCCTGTAAGCTGCAAAAACGCGCCCAAATACCCTTGTAAGGGTATTCAGGCCGACACCGTCAAGAACGCCGGCCCTCTTTCGCCCATCGACGACCTCCTCGAACGGTTGGGCGGTGCCAAGTTCTTCTCCAAGCTTGACCTCAAATCGGGATATCACCAACTCGAGATCCGACAGGAGGACCGCTACAAGACCGCGTTTAAAACACGATATGGGCATTTCGAATGGCTGGTTATGCCTTTTGGCCTTACGAATGCCCCGACCACATTCCAAGCGGCTATGACAACGGAGTTCCGACACATGCTGGATAGATTCGTACTCATCTACCTCGACGACATCTTGGTGTACAGCCGGAGTTTGGATGAGCATGTGGAGCACCTGCGCAGCGTTTTGGAGCAGCTACAACAAGCCAAGTACATAGCCAACGGCGACAAATGCGAATTCGCGTGGCAAGAGCTCGAGTACTTGGGACATTATGTGACGCCACAAGGCATCCGTCCGCTTGCGGACAAGATCGAGGCCATCCGCGTATGGCCCGAGCCCACCAACACCACGGACGTTCGCTCATTCATGGGGTTGGCGGGCTACTATTAACACTTCATCATCGGGTACTCAAGGATTGCCGCACCTCTGACGAGGTTACAATCGCCAAAGGTGCCATTCGTATTCGATGACGACGCACGCCGGTCATTCCAAGCACTCAAGACACCCATGCTCATGGCACCCATCCTTAGCATCTATGACCCCACCCTGCCAACGAGAGTGACAACCGACGCTTCCGGCTATGGCAGTGGGGCAGTCTTGGAACAACATGACGGCGACGACTGGCACCTCGTGGAGTATTTCAGCCACAAAGTGTCTCCCATCAATTCACTTGATAATGCAAGAAAGAAGGAGCTGCTCGCGTTCGTAATAGCTCTCAAGCGATGGCGACGCTTCCTCCTTGGGCGTCGTAGGTTCACATGGGTCACGGACAACAACCCGTTGATCTACTACAATACGCAGGATACAGTGAGCAGCACGATCGGACGATGGATGTACTTCATCGACCAATTTGACTTCACACCGAAACATCTCGCCGACCTCTCCAATCACGCAGCAGATGCACTCTCGCGAAGACCCGATCTTTGCGCTATGACACATCATGCCTTCGCATTCGACGAGGAACTCCATCAACACTTCATCCGGGGCTATGAGTCTGATCCGGATTTCGCCACGTGTATGCGCAACTATCTTCGGATCACCCACCGGCCAGCCACTATCGCATCGTCAACGGGTACTTGCTCCTCCACTCGCGAGGCAAGGACTTATTGTGTGTGTCCCACGAGACCAGCAGCTTCGGACTCGCCTTCTCGGTGAGTACCATGACTCGCGACTCGCCAGCCATTTTGGAGTCAATCGCACTATTGCACAACTTCGACAACGATTCCGATGGCCCGACCTCGTTACTGATGTCACTAGGTATTGCGACTCTTGCGAAGTTTGCCGACGAAGCAAGCCCCACAACCGCAATCCCTACGGCGAGTTGCGCCCGATGCCTATCCCACGGGAACCCGGCCTCTCCATTGCCATGGACGTCACTGGTCCGTTTCCCCTCGATCGCCTCGGGCACAACAGCATCACACCCTCGAGTCTTTCAGCAACAAGGCCTTAGACTTAGACACAAGGTTGGGAGGGGCTCAACAGGTAGTTGGGGATGGGAGAAAGAAAACTCCACAAGAGTGGAAGAAGAAGGGAAGTCATTCATGATGGTTGATTCTCATGGGAATCAAACCGAGATCGACGACCTTTCTGAACTTGTGGAGGAGACAGAGATAGGCAGGGAGGAGAGTGCAGAGGGTAGCAATCTCGCCGCCATAACTGAAGGAAAGGCAGTTGACCGCGGGAAGGGCGGTCAACAAAAGAGGCAGGGGCAGGCTCAAAACTCAAACAAAACTTCGGCTTGGGTGAGGGTTGGCCTGGATCAAGATATGTGGAGGGACCGATATTCGTGAGGGGTTTGGATTAACTGTAGCAAGTATGACCATCAGCAGTTTAAGAGCAAAAACGCCAAGGTTTCTCAAAAGATTGCACCCAAAGGTGGTTTTGGGGGATCTTTCGCCAAAGTGGTGATTTTCTACGAGTGCCACCTAGGGAAACACATCTTGCCAGTAGAAGTTGTAGCTGTTTCTACTCAAGCTGAAGTGGTTGGTGTACCTCCACCACCTCAGGAGTTGGCCGAAGCTAATGACTCTTTAGTCACCCCGCAGACTCATCTAGACCAAACAACACTCTGTTCGTTGGATGTGTCTGAAGCCTTAGAAGGCTTAGAAACCGAGTCATCGGCAAGGGACCCTCGCGAGTCTTGAGCGGCGTTGTCCAAAGGTCCAAAAGGGGAGCATTTCATTGTAGAAGTCGGTGTAGATGGCCGCAAATGTGGTGCCTTCGTAGACATTGGCTCTCCACGGAACTTCATAAGTCACTATTGCGTTGATAGACTGCACCTAGGGGACCAGGTGCAACGTTTGAGTAGATCTGTAGCATCTACTCTAGCCAACAAAGAGTGCATATTTGTCACAGACTACGTCAAGGATGTGGTCTGCACCTTCTCTTATGGAGGTGGGGAACTTAATCACCGGATTTCGTTCGTGATTAGCGACGACTTGCCTTTTGACATGTTGTTAGGTATGTACTACCTTGAGGTTGCCAAGCCCCAGTTCGACTCGGACCGAAAAGTGCTAACGCATATGTTACCTGATGGAAGAACCGTTAGATTAACTAAGTATAAAGCTAGTAGGTTAGTTGACTCCTATGGGTGTATGTGTGCGAATGCATTTTATAATTATTACAAACAGAACCAAGAGGAGGGTATGTACTTCGTTTTTGTCTTTGAGAAAGGGGAGGCCGTTAAAATACCCAGAGATAGAGACCATTGTTGCTAAGTACCCCGATTTGTTTGAGGAGCCTTCGGGAGTCGTAGACAAGGAGACTGTCCCATAGAGGTAATCCCAGGGATTAAGACCCCAAAGGGGAGGATCTATAGGATGGCTCTGGCCGAGTTGGATGAACTTCGTCGACAATTGAAAGAGCTCACAAAAAAGGGTGGGATACGGCCTAGTACCTCCCCCCTTCAGCTCACCAGTTTTATTTGTTCCAAAGAAGGGGGGATCATTAAGGATGTGCATTGATTATAGAGGCCTCAGTGTCATCACTGTTAAGAACGTAGAGCCTCTACTCCGCATCGACGATAGGGTGCAGGAATGTAAGTACTTCACTAAGATAAATTTGAAGTTTGGCTACCATCACATTGCCATTAGACCAGAAGATCAGTACAAAACCACATTTCCGACCAAGTACGGCCTGTATAAGTTTGTGGTGATGCCTTTTGGCCTTTGCAATGCGTCGGGTACATTCCAACATGAATAGGGTGTTTCATGGCTACTTAGATAAGTTCATCGTCGTGTACCTCGACGATATACTTATCTTTAGTAGAACTATCGAGGAGCATGCCCATCATGTAGAAACCGCACTATCACTCCTGCGACAACACAAGTATAAGATAAATTTAGAGAAATGCAAGTTTAGTCGCAGATATCCACGGAAGGGAATAGGCACGAAGATGCAAAGGTGGCTAGCATTCGTGATTGGCCATGAACCCAGTCTGTGACTGAGGTCAGGTCATTCTTAGGGATGTGTGGCTATTACCGCAATTTCGTAAAGAATTATAGTACAGAGGCCCCCCCTTTGACCGATTTAACAATCCTTGACACACCAGGGGAATGGACAAAAGCATGTGAGGCTGCTTTCAAAAGGTTGAAGTACGTCCTCACACATCATGAGATTCTCATCGTTCCGATCCGGAGAGGCCATTCGTTGTGACCATTGACGCAAGCCAATATGACATTGGCGGAGTGCTGGCTCAGCAAGAAGGGAAAACGTTGAGGCCGATCGAGTACATGAGCAAGAAGATGTCATCAAAGAAATTGGTGAAGTCCACCTACGAAAGGGAACTCTATGTCCTCTACAAAGCACTTGTTCCACTGGAGGCATTATCTGCTTGGTAGGTTTTTCTACTTAAGAACTAACCATCATACACTCAAGTGGATCAAGACACAACCTGTCCTCTCTGACACACTCAAACGCTGGACTGAATTTATAGACCAATATGACTTCAAGCTAGATTACGTGAAGGGAGAGTACAACAAGGTTGTTGATGCGCTATCACGTACTAGGGCAGAATACCTAGGTGCGATGATTACTGGATTTGGCTTATCCCATGATGTAACTCGATCGTTGGTGGAAGCCTACAAGGAAGACTCCATCATGATGGACATCATACACAAACTTGAGGCCCAAGACAAGGCCACACCTGACGAGTTTGTGTTGGTGGACAGTTTACTCTTTATTGAAAAGGCAGGTTTTAAAAGGTGTGTTATGTCTAGAGAGATTCTTCGTAGTTTGTTTTTAGGAGAGTGTCACGACCCAACCGGTCACTTTGGCTACAAGAAGACTAGTGCTAATTTAGTACAACGTTTCTGATGGCCTAATATGTTTGACGATGTAACAAAGTATGTACAGACTTGTCAAGTTCGTCAGCGGGACACGCTGCGAACTCAAGCTCTGCTTGATTGTTGAAGCCATTGCCCATTCATGCTGGTTTGTGACAAAGTATCTCCATGGACTTCATGGATACCCTCGTGAGCAGCAAGGGTGGCAGAAGGCACATATTCGTCATAGTAGATAGGTTGACTAAGTACGCTAGACTAATCCCTATTTTGGAAACAACGAAAACAAAGCATGTCGTCAAGTTATTCATGGATAACTAGGTGCGTGACTTTGGACTGCCCAAAACCATTATCAGTGACAGAGATGTCAGATTCACAAGTGAAATGTGGAAGAAGGCTGCCGAACAAATAGGCAGTCAACTCCAAATGACTCCGGAAAATCATCCCGAACAAAATGGTCAAGCGGAACAGATGAACCGTGTGGTGCAGCATCTGCTGAGGCATTACATTAAGCCCAGCCAGGATGACTGGGATGAGAAGTTGCCTCTCATCGTCAGTCTGTACAACAACTCTGTACACAGCACCACTGGCGTCAGTCTGAATCAGCTGCATTTGGGGTGGAAGCTTAGGTCTGCTCTAGACTTCCTCCTACCTGAAAATCGACCCACTGCAACACCTAGAACCATTGAGTTTGGTGTCCAGTATGAGAAACTGCTGCAGCAGGCTCTCGAGCATATCAGAAAGTCTCAAGAGGAAATGATTGCCTCTGAGAACAAGCATAGGCGACAGTCCACATTTCAGGTAGGGGAACGCATCTGGGTAAAGGCTAGTGAACTGGGACAGGAGACTAGAAACTCAAAAAAATAGCAGCCTGGTGGGTGGCAACCCGCGGACCAGGGATCGAGTCCTGGCTGAGTCTGTAACAGCAGTACTTTGGTCCATGGGAAGTCCTAGACATTGTGGGTAGTGATCTAGATGGTCCCTCGTACGTCATCAGAATCCCGGGTCATCTGCGCACTTACCCTGTATTTCACGCTTCCGAACTTGCACCTTTTGCTGAGACAGATCTGTTACCAACAAGAAGGTCAATGCTGCCCCCAACCATGGATGACCACGTGGACGCCGGTGACATCTTGGAACACAGAGATTTGCCAGTTCCCAAGCCCGCTG